ATTAGCAACAACAACAGACAAGCATTAATTTGTTCATGTGAAATTCCTCTACTGTTCTTGAGTCTCTTAATAACAGACATTAGTTAAAAATAACATCTGGTAATAAACAGAAAAGGGAGACTCTCAGGTTGTAATTTAGTTAAGCCCCTGTACATGTTCAGGAGTTGGGGCAGTGTGATTAGGTGGATGCGTTAGGGGTCCTGCTGTCCTCCCACTTCCCAAGTGATCAAGTCAGAGGCACTAAAGTAACTGATTTATATATTTTTCTGATCTATTTGTTATTATTAAATCTGTATTTGTATATGGGATGAGTTGTTTACACATACAGAGTCATAAAGTTAAGATCTAATTCCTATTTCTTGGTAACATGTCCATCATGTGTTCACTAGGTTGCCAAAGATCAGAAGACGTCGCCTTTGTTTCTAGAATTCACAGTTAACATAAAGTAACTGAATTAGTTCAGTCAACTAAACAATTTTCCGCTTAGTAGTAAAATAAATTTTGGGTCTGAACCAGTACAATATATGGCAGATTATCTGAATGTTATTGTTGACAGAGTTCTCTCCATATTGCAAATCCAAATACTACTTGCAAAAATGAGCACTGTATGACTGTTAGATACAGCCACCTAGACCAGTGAAGTATACTACACTAAGCCTGCCCACCCTGGTTAGTCTCAGCAGTCCTTAAATAATAAATGGTCACAGGTAGCACACATATCTCTGAGTCAGAAGCCTATGATACCAGAGATTTTAGTGCATAATCCATGCCAGCTCTGCAGCCCACCACTGAGGGAGTATTTCATTGTCTTCCTATCATTTTAAAATAATTCCCATTGATATGGCTTCAGAGGAATGCACATGGTGCATAATAGGTGAGTGACTTTGACATGGAGGGTATGAGGGTGCAATAAGGAATCAGAGAGGGCTGGAGGACACATGCTCGTGTATAAGGGGGATCTAAGAGCCATGTGCTGGCAGAGGGTGCATGGAGAGTGTCTGAAATGAGAAGCAAATTTTAGGGGGCCTTTAAACAATATTGGGACTTGTCTGCTGTGATGGAGGTTCAAGTCAGGCCTTCGAAGCACCTCACTACAATACCTACAGTCCTCACACATTCCTCTAGTGCTTGGAAAATGCACTATGAGCCCAATAGCTGTGAAAAATACAAAAAAAATGAAAGGATGAAATGGCATGTGAAGTCATACATGTGTCCATGTCAGTTTTAATGGTTCCCGGTGAAGACTCGGCCCCCAAACTCAGAGGAAGGTCAGGTTCCATGTTTGAAAACTAAAAATTACATTAAAATTACAGTAAGGCAAATCAATTTAAATATTGTATGGTTCTACCAGTAACTGTCTGGTTGCCAATTCTCTAAAGAAAGAATTTGCACTGACCTTTCAGCTGTGGCTCCATTGGTAACACTCACACTTCTAAGGTACGGGGATTTGAGTTTAAGTCCCACTCTAAGAGTGAAGCACCAATGGTAACAGTCCAATGTAGTTTAGAGGGAGTGCTGAATTATCAGAGAGGCTGTCTGTAAGATGAGATGTTAAAACAAGGCCCCTGTTTCAGTGGATGTCAAATATTCCATGGCAGTCTTGAGGAGAGCAGGGAATCTAATCCTGGTGTTTTGGCCTACATTAATCCCACAATCAAAGTCACAAAAACAGATCATCTGGTCATTATTACCGTAGTGACTGGAGTGATATCAGCCAGGTATCAGTCAGATATCAGCATCATAGAATATGAGTTCCCTGATTGGGGCTGCTAGCCTGGGCTAATCAGGGAGTCTTGCTTACAGAATTAAACAGAAGTGTCAGATATTCTGTTCATTCTGAGAGCTTGCACTGAGCTAGCTGGGTCAGTGTCATGTACTATGCACGTGTAAATAAAGGGTGACTTGGTGATAGGAAACTGGCCTTCATGGAGTTATTTCAATCACGTTGCTGTTGTAGTGGTTTGCTGTGTGCAAATTGGCTATGAAGTTTCCTCCATTACAACTTAAAATATATTTCAAAACACATTTCATTGACTGTAAAATGCAATGAAATTTCTGGTGGTATGAAAAGTGCTTTGTAAATAAAAGACTTTCTTTTGTTAATATAGTGCTTCATGAATTACACTTTTCATATAGTTGAGATATGCCAAAGTAGTTTACAACCAATTACGTACTTGTGAAGGGTTGTAACATAAGAAAAATGGAAGATAATTTGCATTCAGTACAATCCCACAAATAGTAAAGAGATAATGACCAAACGTTAGATTACCTTATATATTAGATCACTTCAGTAAAATGAAAAGTGACCATGGTCCTCAGAAGACCATGAATTGTGCTAAGTTTAGGCTGAGGGTCACGCTTTTGGAGGGGTGGGGCAGGGGGAGCTGGGATGTTAATAACCACTTTAGGTATAGGTAACTATATATTAACTCTACATTAGGTCACTGTATGTTCACTCTGTAAATCAGATTACTCTGTACATTAACTCTGTGTATTGTTGTGAATTAATCTATATATTAACACTGAATATTGTCTCTTTTTGATTAGCCCTGTATGTTTGATCTGTATTAACTCTCTGTATGTCAACTTTGTATATTAAATCACTGTGGATATCAACTCTTTGCATATTAACTTTGTATATTAAGTCCCTGTATATTAACACTCCTATATGTTAACTCTGAATATTAACGTTGCAACCTGACCTGACGTCAGGTTCCCCAATTTGTTACAGTCCAAGATGGGATACCCAAATTGTTAAGCTCCTGGGTGAGGAATGAAGAGTCTCCCTTTCTTTATTCACTCACTTTTTCGGTCACAACATCATCGTGAAATATGGATCAATCTCTGAATTGTTCATGAAGAGCAGATAAGCCGCTGCATGGATAACGTCAACTTTGGCAGTTGAGCAATCGATCTCAAGATTCTTTGTTTTGTAGGTCAGTTGAAATTCCTTTGACTGGTTCCTCTTGAACTGGTCAGAATGAGAGACAGTCTTACCCTCTTGTTTTACCTGCAGTGCAGGGGTGTTTAAAAATGATTGTTGTCAAATCTGTAGCCTTCACAGCTCTCTCACCTACACATTAAGATGTTCAGACAACAACATATGCAGATTAGTGTTGCATGAATTTTATGAACTCTTCCTTTAGATATTTCTCAAGGGTAAAACAGATGTGTCTGCAAGAAGTGGATTTCTGCTGAGAGGAAGTTAGTCAGCCCTCTCATCATCTCTCTGAAGATGTTGTGAAGAAGTGTCACTGAATCTGAAACGTTAACTATGCTTTCTCTCCACAGATGCTGTCAGACCTGCCGGGTTTTTTTTTAGCAATTTCTGAATTTGTCCCTTGTTAATTTCTTGTTAATTCTCTTCCTGATTCCCTGACTCTTTGTAGTTTATGACATTCCCCTGGCTTCACACAGGACTTTGCCAGTCACTGAATTTACATATGGAGTTACTCTTTTTCTGTAGCAGTTATTTATTTTAAACGTTGGTATTAAGTAAAACATGTATATAATATTTTGGGATTCTGACCTGTCATCATAATATTAGCTGACTCTCTATATTAACTGTTTGTATATTAAGTCTGTATATCAAGTCTCTATATAATAACTCACTGTATATTAACTCTTTACATTAGATAACTGTAAATTGAGGTCTTTTCCATTGATTGTCCATATATAAAATCTGGATATTAGATCCTTCTGTATATTAACTCACTGTATATCGACTCTGTACAAAAACTGTATATTACAGCACTGTACATTAACCGTGTGTTATGTCACGGTACATTAACTCCATATTAGATCATCCTGTATATTAACTATGCATATTAATATAGATATGAACTCTGTATATTAGATCCCTGTTTATTAATAAAGTATATTAGACAACAGCATTTAACACTGTACATAAGGTTGTTCTGTGTATCAACTCTCTGTAAATTAAGTCTTTATATTAAGTCCCTGTATATTAACTCTGGATATTAGATCACTCTATACATTAACTGCATATTAAATCAGTGAGAGATCACCATCAATAGATCACTGCATATTTACTTTTTGTATATTAAGATTCTATTTTAGATCACTGCACACTAATTTTCTGTACATTAATTCTATACTGTTTAGATGACTGTATATTAATTCTGTGTAACTCTAAATAAGATGATTATACATTAATGCTGTATATTAACTATATGTTAGATCACTGTATATTACCTATCTTTATATTAATTCTGTATATTAGATGACTATATATTCACTCTTATATTTACTATTTTAGATGACTACATATTAACTGTATATTAGCTCTCTATATTTAGATTACTACATTCATTCTCTGCACATTAATTCCCTATATTAGATCATTGTATATTTACTATATGTTGATTTACTGTTTATAAACTCTATATTCACTGCAAGTTAGATGACTATTAGCTGGCTGTATATTAACTCTCTATATCAGATCATAGTATGAACTCTTCGTATATTAACTATACCAGATTGTGACAGCAACTATCTTAATTATATCAGATCTCTATATTGGCTTTATATTAACTCTTTACAATAAATCACTATCAACTGTCTGTAAATTAACTCCTTATATCAGATCATTCTAATAATTCTGGTATATTAACTCTATATCAGGTCACCATATTCATGGTCTGTACAGTAACTATATCAGATCATTTTATTGACTGTATTTAACTTTCTAAATCAGATCACTATATTAACTCTGTATATGAACTCTCAAATTACTTCATTAACTCTCTGTATATTAATTTTCTATATTAGATCACAAGATGAACTCTGTAGATTAATTCTATATTAGATCACTATGTTAAATCTGTATTCTCTCTCTTGTTGCACTCAGACGTATACAGTTACCAGGGCATTTTAACCTAAATGTATCGCAGCCTCCTATTGGTTGAGGTACTATCTGGGCCAATAGGCGCGGTGGATGTTGCGAGGTGCTGCTGCTGCGAGTTGCTAGGCTCGAATATGTAGGTCTGAGATTCATCGTCATTCGGGTAGAGTATTGGGTATCGGTAAATGGCAGATTAATGTTAATATTGGAGCTGGTCTTTTCAGACCAGAAACCGCACGTATGGAGCTAGCCATTTTTTGAAAGAGTTTGGGTCGAGGTGAAGAGATGGGTGTTATATATTCTCTAGTTGGATCAGACAATAGCCCAGCAGGTAGAGAGGGGTGTTGGAAGGTTTCCCAGAGGGATTGCACTCTTTAGAGAGGGGGAAGACGTGTTTGGTGATGGAATCAAAATGGCAAAGCACTCTTGGAAGGCAGCGTGCCCTGCATACTTTACGCGCGCACATCTGCGAAGCAGCCCATATTTAATAAGCTTTAACATCATAACTCTTCTGTAAGTTGGCTGTGCACTTCCATAAAAAAAAGTTTGTTCTGCTGGAAGGTGTGCACTAGAGGTTCTTATATAGAGGTGAGGAGGCAGTCAACAAAATACGCAGTAACAATAGGACATTTCCAGGGTCATGCTTATTTAATAAATAAGCATCTCCGATGCTGTGGGATGGTCCTTGTCTCCATCAGAACAGATTCAGCAATTGAGAAACTGGGCGTAAGAAATTTGGGAGTTTTTCGCATGAAGCGGAGTGCGAAGACTTCTTAGTACTGGTGAACATGTAATTCATATCTGGAGAAACAACTTTTGAGACAAAGAAGTACTGGAAGCAGAGGGAAAGGAAGACTATCTGAAGTATAGTAAATGAAAAATAACATCCGGACTAGAAGCGGAGTAACAAACAGCACTGACACCGCAATTTGTCTTGGACGGGTGAAGGAGCTTGTAAAAACCGAAAGAACTGCGGACGCTGTAAATCCGGAACAAAAACAAAGTTGCTGGAAAAGCTCAGCAGATCTGGCAGCATCTGTGAAGGAAAAAACAGAGTTGACGTTTCCGGTCCGGTGACCCTTTCTCAGAACAGGAGCTTGTAATTGATCCTAAAGAGGATGAGACAAAGAAAACTCAAAATATCCGACAATCGGAGATGAAAGAGAAGGAATTTTCTGAGGGAGAATGGGGATAGCTTTTAGTTGGAAGAAGTGTGTGGTGTTAAAAGTTTCTTTTTCCAAAAAAAGAACGTGTATCTAACCATGATTGACATTAGACTCCACAAGGTGTAGTTGCAAGGAACAGCAAAAGAGCCAGAAAAGAAATTTAAACCAAGTCTCAGAACTGAGAAGGCATCAGAATCTGGAATCAAAATATACTTAGATAAATCTAGTCAAAGGTGTAACAGAAGAAGAAAGGTCAGGAACAATTAAAGATTTTAAATCAACATAAATTAAGTAATTACATTTCAATGTCACCTGGAATATTTTAAAAGAATGCAGCAGGAAAACATACATTAAAAATGTGCGGAAGATGATGCTTGGTGTCTTAAACTGTGAAAAGGAAAGAAAATGTCCATTTCACCTGAAAACTAAAAAATCAGTCTTAGCTGCAGAAAGTTAGAATGTCATCAAAAAAGTAGGTAGCTGTCATTTTGATTATTAAAAGGGGTGGGAATACTCTGAAAGAAGTGGGAAAACCCAGTAAGTAGTACAGAGATGTAGTATTACAAAGAAATGGATTTTAAAAACCAGTCATTTATTACAGAAGAGTGAATAATACAATTTAAAGTCTTAATAAGTAATTAATACATTATTATAGGAATAGCAGTAAAAAGACTGGGATGTAAAAGAAAATACTGTAACATTGCTGTGATGGGGAGTTCAGCAAGGTCCATTTAATTTAAAACTGCATTGGTGAATGCAAGTTTAAAGAACAGAATTATAGAATATTGAACTAACACCGATTTAAAATTTATCTACATTAATAAGATTAATCAGTACCTTGAGGGGAAAAAAATAGATAAAGATGTAAAAATATTTCCAGCTATTCAAAGGCTGAGAAGGAGCATGCAGAACACAAGACTAAATTTCATTGGAGATGACAGTTCTTAAGATACAGGATTGCTTCAAAATCAAACATTAAATGCAGAAGTAGCTCACAGTCACACCGTTGCAGAAGGTGAGGAGATTGTATACGCAAGGGCCTTTAGAAAATATAACTGAAGCATTAGAGAGGAAGTTGGTGATCCCAACAATCTGGGATTCAAAGAAGAGAGATAACAAGGTGTAGAGCTGGATGAACACAGCAAGCCGAGCAGGAAGGCTGACGTTTCGGGCCTGGACCCTTCTTCTGAATAGAGAGATATTTCTTCAAAGCTTATTGTTTTGCCCTCAGCATACCATTCACAAGAATAGTATTGCAAAGGGGAGCAACCCTTATTTATAATATATGAGAAGAGAGTGATGATTAGTTGGCAAGTGAACTCTGATTTTTTTTTAAAGTCCTGTGTTTTGATACGTTTAGCTTCCAGCACACGCATGCATTGCCTTGAGCCCAACTGATAAATCTTAAATTGGCTGTCAGCATAATTCTTAGCACACTTGATTATTTAGCAGTAGTTCAATTGCTGAATCACATTTAATGTTGGACACAGTGTTTTGAGTTTTGCAAGCTAGAGTGATTGAATATAGTCAATATCTTGCCAGTTCTGAACATCCAAAGGGTCTTGCGGTTTGACATAATGACTAATCCTTGGGCCTACATACAGCCTACATACCATAGTCTTTGCAGACAAAAAACATGTACACACATTATGCCCGTTTCATCTTAATAGGTGACAAGTATTCTTTGGTTCATTGGTCAAGGCTTTGCCGAACAATCAAAGTCAACCTTCTCGGTCAGAATTTAAAAAAGCTTAGTAGTTATTGAACATTGTTTAACGGGTGCATTCTGCATGGCAACGTCTCTACCAATCAGAGTTCACATGGTGTAGTGGAATAACTGTCAGAAGCATAGAAATCTACAAATTACAATACACTAAAATGGACAGAAGAAAGTTGAAAATGTGTAAATTGTTCACAACCAAGAAACTTCACTTTCAGCCAGCAAACATATCACATCTTCAGCTTTCTTAGGAGAGTCGAAGGAGTTTCACTACCTCCCAGAGAACAACTGATCCAGAAACAAACAGTTGTCAACCAGCTGATCTTGGGGAAACTTTCACTGGGCTCCCTAGATGTGGTGGAACCTACAGTGTATTGATAAATGTAATATAGTTTTACACATTGTGTAATGGAGTTTACCATGAAAAACAAAAATTTGGAATGGGAGATGTTGGATAAGGTAATGGTTCTAAAGAGGTTAATGTTTTTGTTACATTGGTTCCACCCATTCGACTGATGTTACGTACAATTTGTGGGTGGAGATGAGACCTACGCAAGCTCTCAGAGAGAGCAGATGTATCTGTCCTTAAGATCCCAGTAATATTCTTGACCAATTTTTACTTATTGCTATCATGCAGTAAGCCTACTTGTTATCCAAGAACAGTGCCGTCTAAGTAGATATTCTGTGGTAGTCTATCCACTACCACTGATCACTAGATAGGCCCGTGATAAAGCACAGATAACAACCTCAAACAAGCCACATACAGATAGTGGTGTCAAAGACCACAAGGTCCAGGAGTGGTCATCTGGGAGAGTATCAGAGATGGTAGTGGGCTGTGCTCCCATAGTGTAGGAAAATCAGCTTGGGTGTGTAATGGACAGTCAATTCATTACCACTTTCTACACACAGTGTTTATTTCTTACGATGAGAGGATAGCTGGATCTGGATACACATACTTGTTCAAGTGTTGGAGAAGGTAAAAAATAATGTAGGTATAGTAAGATCGAGACTAAATGCAGAGAGGAAGAATTAAAAGGGAAATATGATCTGTCTTGACAATTTGAAAATTCTTGCTAAGTCTTAGCCTTTCTGGTTGGTAAATCTTTACCATTGTTTACAGACTCATGGACTGAAAAATTACTTCAAAATGCATCAGTCACTTCTGCATGATGTTATGGAAAGCAATTCATAATTTATCTTGTCCCTTGATGGGCTGAGGTTACCAAATAGTTATTTTGAACATTGCTTCAATTCTTCCAAATACAGCTCTTCAAATGCTTCACAGGTTTGGGACATGCTTTGGATCTTGTAACCTGCTAATGGCAGTGAATGGGGTGGAATAGAGGGTCAATCCAGATGTGATGCATTTTTTTATTGCCTTGAAAAGGACACACATTTTAAAAAATATATGGAACATTAATTTCTAAAGATTACTGCCCAAGGCCTGAATCTGTTAAAGTGCTAGTGCTTTCAAAGTTGCTGTTCTCCATATCTGATGTCCTCTCTATGCAGCAGTGTACAGCTGAATATTTCTCCTTTGATTTGTAAGGAGTGAGATTTATTCTCTAAAAGAAAATTATAACCAAGTTCCTTCCTGTCAGTGTGATGAGGTAATATTCTAGGTCGATTTCCTTCCAGGGCAACATGTTTGCTTGGACCATCCGGGATAAAGACAGATTGTGTTGTGGAGTCTAGACAGGTTTTCCCCTTCAAGAAGATCAGAGATTGAGGGGAGATTCCTGAATCATTTTGCACACTACTCAATATCTAAGCTTGTGTGCTCCAGCTACATTAGCCAATAAATGATGTGTAGCATAAAGAAGCTTAAGGGAGTAAAATAATTAATTCAGAGTGTGATTGGAAAATATCTATAAGTGAACTGAAAAGAATCACATGCATAACAATGATGGTGAGGCTGTACTCCAATCATTTATCTACGAATGTTTTCAAGTTCTTTCAGGGACTAACACTGTCTTATTCTTACTTACAGTAACCGCCACAATGGCTGGTGTTGTAATGGGAGTAGGGGCAGGAGTTTTTATTCTGGCTGTTGTATGGGTTTTATCATTGCTGATATGCATGCTGCTGTCTCGTTCAGGAGGTGTGATCAGGTGAGGCCCTTATTTGTTGTTTCAGTCTACTATTTAAATGTAAAATTGAGTACATTTGAGATTCTGTCTCTGTTTTAATATTACACCTTTATTATTTTGGAGATTAGCATGAAATCAATATAATTGCATCAGGCTTTGCCCAGCCTCTGGTTGTCTCCATTTATGTGCCTGACTACAGTTTTTTTCATCAAAAACTAAAGCCATAATACAAACACTGAGTTTTGTATAGTTTTTAGACCAAACTGTTTATATTCTAAAGGTGGATTTATGCAAAGGCCATGTTAATTTTTACAGAAAGAAAGTTATCCCTTAAAACAATAATAAACCTGCAACAGATGTGACTTTTAGTTGGCAGCCTGATTTGAAAAGTCCCGTCAGTGGTTATCAAACTATATATCAATGGATCCACTATTTTAGATGTTATCTTTTATTTTCTTTGCTTTTATCTTCTGCTTTTATTTCCTAATCTGTGTTTCTTTATTCACTTATGTATTCACTATTATTCACTATGTATCTATATTCACTTATTCTCTCAGTTATGGTTGTCTCTTTCCTCTTCATTTGGCTTTTACACCTCTACTTGTATATTACTACAAAGAACGTGTCAGGACTGCTGCATAGGTAACACAAACACAGTGAGGATGAATGGATCAAATCATTGATTAAGGAGCATAGAGAGTGGGAATGAATATGTCAGGTTACATCAAGGAGAACAGAGAGCTAGAAAGAAATAGATAATGGAGCAATGAGCACAGATAGAGGAAGGGAATGGTTCATGGCAGCGTTGTCCAGTGGAAGTTGCTAATTAGTTACAGGTATGGGAATGGCATCAGATTTTTGGCTCCTTGAAATAATCTTAGTAGAAAATGTAGAAACCAAAGTAGGCTATTTAGCCATTCCACCGTTCTGAGATTTTGGCTAATCTACACCAAGACTCCATAAAATCGCCTTTATCCATATCCCTTTATTCTTTGATTAACAAGAATCTTCTCAGTCAGGGTTTTAGAATTAATATTTTATCTAGCATCAATTGCCATTTATGAAAGAGGTTTCAAGCATCTGCCACCCTTTGATGTAGAAGTGTTTCTTAATTTCACTCCTTAAAAATCTGGTTATTTTTAGATTATGCTATCTACTGACAAAAATAGTTTCTCCATAACTAAAACACTTTAATAGACTTGAACAATATATGTAGATTTGCTTCTCCTTTCAATTACTAAACAAATACCTACTGTTCAGTAGTCAAGAAGAAAATCACTCAGTGATCAAAAACATGCATTGACTAATTTTCATTATACTATTTGATGAAGGTATGCGTGAAGGTATCAAGGGTACATGTGTCTACCATGCAAATTGTGTTGAGATTACATCCCCAAGGATGGTGTCCATTCCTCATATATATTTGCAAATAAAATGCAATTAATTCCATCTGTATTTCCAGTTAATTGCATGTTGCTAATGATTAATGGTTTGAATAACTCAGTCACTGATTTTAAAAAAACTCAAAGAACAGTTTAGGATTGAGTTACTTAAGAAGGAGCACAGCAAGAGCAGAATGGTCAAGTCAGGGTTGTGGAAAGAACATGTGTAGCAGAACTGAGATTGGGCTGTTCACACAGTTTCAGTGAGGGTGTACCTAGTTAATGGAGTGCAGAGAGCAAACCAGAGAAACATCTGAAAAGCAAAAGTTTTGTTAAACGTGAAAAATTGAAGAAGGAAAGCTTGATCTGATCAACATAAACTACAATTGACTAACTGGAGCCAGTGTAACATCAATGTGGTACCAGTTTTCTTTGATTTAAATTGATCTTCAGCTCATCAATTTTGGTGCTCTGATCCCTTCATTGGGCCCCTTGGTTGATAGCCAGCACAATAAAGTATCATCCGTTGCATACTACAGATTCATTGGGACTATCTTCTGTGTTATTTTATCCAGCTGGCTTTCGATTATATTGGTTTTCTTCCTTGCATTGATGATCACCTTGATCCTCATCTTCTTTCCCCGAGCCAAAGAAACACCCGAGTCAGTGACTGAAGATGTGGTAAGAACAGAGTTTATATTTGTTGCTTTAAATTGCCTTTCATAACCTGTCTGTGAGCTTTTATTAAAAACAATGAACCGTGTGCAGGCAACAGATCCTGATCAACCCTCAGGCAGTCCCCTTTTTCACACATGCAGTGCACAACATATTGATTTCAGTGAAGGATGAAGTACTGTACTTGCAGCATAAATCCAGCCAAAACTCCCAAAAGAACAAGTCAAAGGTTTAAACTAAAAGCAAACTTAAACCCCAGCAGTAAATGATTCCCTTCCCTATATCACTCCCTCGCTGTATCCATGTAATTACAGTGAGAGCTTCTGGGCTCCTACATGTTCCTCTGGTCATAGCATCAAAGCTCACTTATTGACGTCGCTTGAGTTGCTGTGACCTGTACTCTTCAACTTATAAATTATGTCAGCATATTAGAGTCACAGATTAGGATCAGAATTTTATTGTAAACCGATCTCTTACCTTTGTGTAATCTTGATCTTCCCTGATGTTTTTCCTTTTTTGAAATTGAGAAATCCAGATCAAAACCTATGCTGCAGGAAAAAAAAGCCAAGAAAGTAAAAGAGAGGAAGAGGCTGTTTAAGAAGTTGTGGTTAGGTGATAACGCACATTCCTTTTAAAAGTATTTAGAATGTAGGAAGATGGATAGGTGCTGATCGATATGAATTTCCAGAGTTTAAAATTCTGCACAGGAATAAGTTACAGAAGGATCGAATACCATAAATCTTGATTTCATTGTAAGTGAGGCCTGGAATGGCAGAAGAACAACAACAATGGGTGGAATCTTTAAGGGGTCTGAGCAATGTGGCATATAGCGAATAGTGTGGCAAAATTGTGTAGCAATGCCTATCTCGATGTTTGGAGCAATTCAAGCCATGATTCATGTTTTTCACAAATCACATGGCAAGATTCTGACTAGGTAATTGCAAGATGGCAGTTGATGGGGAGTAGCACTTGTTAAATGCCTTGTTAACAGCACAGCTGACCGCATTGATTTTCAGCCTCCCATCTTCTCAAATTTGCCAATCTAGCTAAATGTTGAGAAAACCCAACAAGGAAACCAGAGTAGGCACCTGGAAGATTTAGTTCATTGCTTGCTGTGAATAACCTCATGACATCTGCCATGTGCCAGCCTCTAAGAACCCTCATGGCACATCTCCGATCCACTTACAGGATGCTTCTGCATTTCAGTACTGTACCTTGGGATGCTCTGGCAACCATCTTTTTAATTCACTTGGGGGATGTGGACGTTACTGGCTGGCCAGCATTTATTGCCCATTCGCGTTGCCCTTGAGAAGGTGGTGGTGAGCTGCCTTCTTGAATCGCTGCAGTTCATGTGTGAAAATTGATCCACGATGCCGTTTCCGAGGGAATTCCAGAGTTTTGACTCAGTGACAGTAAGTCAGGAGGGTGAAAGGTTTGGAGGGGAACTAGCAAGGGATGGTGTTCCCTTATATCTGCTGCCCTTGACCTTCTAGATGGAAGTGGTTGTGGGTTTGGAAGGTGCTGTCAACAGATCTTTGGTGAATTTTTGCAGTGCATCTTGTAGATAGTACACACTACTGCTACTCAGCATCGGTGGTGGAGGGAGTGGATGCTTATGGATGTGATGCCAATCAAGAGGTTACTTTGTCCTAGATGGTGTCAAGCTTCTTGACTGTTGTTGGATCTGTACCCATCAGGCATATGGGGAACATTCCATCACATTCCTGACTTGCGCTTTGTAAATGGTGAACAGGCTTTGGGGAGTCAGGAAACAAGTTACTCACCAGAGAATTCCTAGCCTCTGACCTTCTCTTATAATCACTGTATTTATATGGTGAGTACAGTTGAGTTTCTGGTCAATGGTACCCCTGAGGATGTTGATAATGGGGGATTCAGTGATGGTAACATTGAATGTCATGGGACGCTAATTAGATTGTCTCTTATTGGAGATGGCCACTGCCTGGCATTTGTGTGATGTGAATGTTATTTGCCACTTGTTAACCCAAGCCTGGATATTGTCCAGATATTGTTGCATTTGATGAATATGGACTGTTTCAGTATTTGAGAAGTCACGAATCGTGCTGAACATAGTGCAATTATCAGCAAACATCCTCACTTCTGACCTTATGATGGAGGGAAGGTCATTGATGAAGCAGCTGAAGATAGTTGGGCCTAAAACTCCTGCAAAGATGTTCTGGAGCAGAGACGACTGATCTCCAGCAACCACAATTATCTTCCTATGTACCAGGAATGACTAGTGGAAAGTTTGCTCCCAGATTCCCATTCATTCTAGTTTTGCTAGGACTCCTTGATGCTACACTTGGTTGAATGCAGCCATGATGTCAAAGCCTGTCACTCTTGCCTAAGTTGTAATGCTGCTGCAAAGACCCAATGGATTTAGTGTCACATATCTAGTTCAAACATTGGACCAGGCTTGTTTTTTTGGGCTGTTCACCTACACAATGGATGCTCACGGCATCCCTACCTTCCACTGGCTTGCTTTGAACCCTCAGCCAGAGAAGCCAGGGTTATTATTACTGCTGTCTTCTCACACCGTTTAGCACAGACACAAGGCCAGCGAGCTTGTCATAGTTTGTCAGCATTCTCAGTCATATCAAGGGAGATAGCCTTCACTGAGCTTATACCAGAACAGTAAGTCAACGGCAGCCTCAAATACTGTCCAGGACTTATTCAGTGTGTTTTCAGTCTGAATTCTGTCCGTATAAAGGGTGAGGAGCCAGATGACAAACAGCCCACCACCTGCCTTGATTCTTTCTGTCCCATTCTGATCTGTTTTCCTCATGGAATGAGAGAGGTTGGTATTACAGAAGATGAAAGTGCGTGGCACAGCTTTTACTGTGGGTGCAGGTGGGTGGTGTTCTGAATAACTGAGTAGGCAGCACAGAGGACATGCAGGGTCAGTGGTGTTGGAGTTGAGATGGGTGAAAGCAAGTGAGGGAAGAGGTTGAAGACAGTACTGCAAGTCATAGAGCATAAGCCTTGGTGGGAAGTGGGTACAGCAGCAGAAATAGTGAGATTATGGAGAGAAGATGGTGGCACTTATGCTGGCAGAGAGGAGCAGGTCTTTGACCTTCTTGCTGTATTGCTGGGCATACCTTGAGATTGTGGTGAGATGGTGATGAGCAATGGCCACAGAAGCAAGCTACAAGAAGGAGAGGCTGGTATGAAAGAAAGCCTCACCTATCAGGTGAGAAATTTTTGCTCTTAACTGATTTTAAGTGTGTAAGAGAGATATCATTAACATCACCTGGAAAAGGAAACATTGTCTGAGTTTTGAATGGACTTAAGGTTTATGGTCAGTGGCTTTCAAAATTTTCTCTGGGGCACCTCCTAAAAATATTGACATTTCCAAGGACCCACATGCCTCCAAAACTAAATTAGTTAAGACCATGTCAGCTGCCAAAAAGAAAATAATAAATACTGAAAACATCTTTAATAAGTGTACAGTAACAGGACATTCATACCTCTAAATCCACAAAAAACCTGAAATCCGACGATGTGACAATGATTATCTTGCAATCCTAGTAAAAGGATTTCTGTTTGAAAATGTGATTATAAATAATTAACACAGCACTTTCCAAACTCTTCTAGTTGGAAATTAATGTGACTCTGGAGACCAATAAAAATAACAGTAACATACAGCTTATAATTATTAAAGTTTGCATATTATAGTTCAACATATAATCATGATAAGTATGTTTTAAAATGCTCAAATTTCCTGTTATTACTTAGATTATAGTCAAGCTCTCTATATTCTCCTGTGATAGAAGACCAGGAAAGGTCCCTTCCTGACCCATAATAGTTGCAAATTGCTGCGCTACAGATGGCGGCTGTTAACCAAGGCCAGTCACCAGAAGCAGCTCTGCAGCTTTTGCCCTGCATAGTAGAAACATGGGACTGGTAGCTTCTTATTCAGGGTTTGCAGCCTCCACAAGATGTTCATGAAGCTACACTACCCAGTTTCTAGGTGCATCTGTCTCTGCTGTGCATAGAGAGAGGAGGCAGGTACGTGTGGGGTGGGCTGCAGTGTGGGCTTTAGTATAGTTTTGGAGGAGGAGTTTGTAATCCCATCCACTGTTTCTACATCTCCAAAAGAGGCTCACATCCCACAATTTGAGGAGCATTGAACTTATATAGAAATATCCCTCAAAAATATGAATTTGGCAAGGATGAGGAGTTGCACCTGAGGTCAGAATAGAGAAGAATTTCAACTATAAAAATGAATAAGAGGGCAAGAGATGGTAGTTTTGAGACTTTCAAAGATTTGAAAGGGTCACAATTTCCATTAATCCATTGCAAAACTCAAAAGTGATCAGAATCTAATGGTATAGCAAATGCACTGAATGAGAAATGAGGTCTGTGCCTTGTGTGTGTAGTTTGAAAGAAGCTGAAAAATGAAGGGTAGAATCAACGCAAAGTATTGTGTTTAATGATGAGTAGATAAGATTGTTAATGTGGACTGGGAACGTGATAGTCTGGAAGAATCCCTGGGCTGATGCATAGTCTGAGAAATGAGTCAACAATTGTACCACAGATCCTGAGGGCTTTTTCAGAGGAAGCTGAAGCAGTCGACTTTAAAAATACTTGTTGGACCATGATTGAAAGCATAGGAGATGCAAAGGAATTTCTTAAAATGTTTATGTACCAGAGGTATGTAACACGAGAATAATTTCGCTTATGGTTTGTTTGTAGCAAATACCATCAAAGTAATCATGTTTGAGGAGCTTTCATTACAACAATAACTTTATATTCAGCATCATAATGTAGTAATTAAAAACAAACAAAAGCAGCTTCCCAGGGAGAGAGGACTTTCTGTCCATCTGTTATCTGACTCTATTTCTCCTTCTCTCTCCATTATTCTGTACAAATTATATACACCATATATATTTCCCATTTGTTTGGCAGAACTGCTTTTTGCTTCATGAATTTCTGCCATACAGTATACATTGATTCTGGAGCACTCTGAGCCAATCTTAGTTACACTGCAAAGTAGAATTAAGAGCCCAGATAGTAACTGAGAACAGCAGTATCCATGTTTTCAAGTGATGATAGTGACTTTAACTTTTCTGTCCATTCCATAGTCACTGCATTCAGCAGTATTCACTTCTGTTTCCACACATCACCAGCAGTATCACAGCCTCAGAAGGGACTTAGAAAACCACCATCTCGCATGCTTCTGATGGTCTCTTAATGTAAAGATATACAAAAGCACCTGGGATTGCCTGTAGCCATTTTTCTAGAATGGCTGAACGTACTGGTTTGGCATGTTGCAAGCTCGTCTTTGGTATTTATAACAGTGTTGGGTACAGCGTATTGTAGAAAAATACACAATATTTTAATAATGAAAGCCCAAAAAATGCAAATAATTTCACCTCATCAGTTTACTGACTGACTGGAACACCATCTCCAGCTGATCAGATGAGAGAATTCATAAACCTGGACATTAAAGCAGAACTGTGTTGCCATGTGCTTCAGCTAACTTTCACCTATGATCAAATAGTAGCAGTACCGTGGTACCAATTAGCAGGGCACAGGGCAAGACCTCTGCTCACGAGCCAATGAGCTATTAATATTACATAGCCCAAGCTCTCTGTACTGCTCACAGTACCAGGCACCACTAATTGGCTCATTAAAGAATGAGGTGTGTTAAACGAGCACCTGTCTAGTCCACAGGAGATTAGTTCTGCTGCTGAGGTGGAGTTTATTTTTCCTCAATATCGTCTTAGAGTACCGAGCTCCTTGTATTGCTTCACAAGAGCACAGAGGCAAAACCACCTGCAGGGGCTATGATTAGCATTCGTTAGCATTCTTTCTCTGCCGTTCTCTCTCTGCCTTTTCTGCTGTCAAAACTAATTAATATTTTAGACCACACGTAAAGTTGCAGATTTGCATGCTAACATTATCTGGGAATTCTAAGTGTTCAGCAGAATAGAATTGCAAAAAAAAACATGAATTTTCTTTTTTGGAGAGTCACATGTAAATGTTTATGTTGTCCTGTCATCTCAATCTTGATCAAAATAATGTAGGCATTGGGACATGGATGATTCCATTTAAGATTCTGTCTAGTTTAGTTAATTTATGTCACACGGGTCAACTTGCAGCATAGCAATGGTGATGCCACCGGATTTTGTTACAGTATGTTTGTTTATAAAAAGCCCAACCACCCAGTTGATCTCATCGTTCTAGAACACAAATGCTTTGAGCCCTTCCATTTTAATATCCTGGCCTCAACCACCAAGCTGGAAAGCCTTTCCCAGTTGTTGCTCAAACTCAAAGTTATCTGCAGGTTCTGTTAGTACTACCTTGCACATGAGGCATTATGGTGGGTGAGTGGACAAAAAGATGGTCGATAAAGTGGGGAAATGTGACACTCTTGGTTGGGAAGAACAGAAAAATTGGTTATATTTTAAATGTTGAGAAACTATTTAATATTGATATTCAGAGAAATTTAGCTGCCTTTGCACAAAAAACATATATTTAACATTCAGGTACAGTAAACATTTAGGAAAGCAAATAGTGTGTCGGCCACTGTTAGAAGACAGCAGGAGTACAAGAATAAGGGAGTGATTGTATGGGGCAAGGTCAGATACTGCCTGAAGTACACTTTACAGTATTTGTCTTTGTGCCTAAGCGAGGATATACTTACCAAAAGAGTGCAACAAGTATTGACTAGATTGATTCCTGGAAAGAGAAGAGGAGAGAGATTGAATAGAATGGGCCAACATTCTGTGGAGTTTAATGGTATCATGAAACATAGAATACTTTGAGAGTTGCTGTAGTCCCACAAGACTCTTCTCGTGTTAGAGAGAGACAGCTGATGGGGAGTTTAACCCGAGGGTCACCAGAAGGGGTGAGTTTGAGAGGATGGGTTGTTCATGATGACCTCAACTGGTATGTGAATTAAACCCCTGCTGTTTGGTGTCACTTTACATTATAAAGCATCCATCAGGCCAAAGATTTTGAAGGGGTTTTCCCCCTGCTTGGTAATGATAGAATATGGAAATGGGTCTGGAAGGTGAACCTATTGATCAGCAGAAAAGACTTGAAGCCCTGTTAGTTGGATGATTTTTGAGAAATCATTGCATCCTGGAACCCTTTTATGAAGCAAAGGAGCCCAGCAATGTACATGCCAGAGCTTCCAAATATATAAAAGGGTGAGTGGCTTCCTTATTCTCCCCCACCTCCATAATCCAAAATAACAACAAAGCAACATAACAAATCACATCAAATAGTTTAAATTGTCTTTGGTCAGACACACACACCATGTATGTTTAGGATTTGTTTTAATTTTGCAGCTACTCTCAATGAAGTTAGTCCAGTTTTTGAAGTTATCATTATTCAAAATAACAACTGCAGAATGAGAAAGGAAAACTTATAGCCTAGTTGTTGTTCTATTTTCTGAGGTTGATTTGATATGTTTGGACCAAGATTTTATCTGTGTTCTTCATTGTAGTGTCTACCTGTTTGCTAGGATTACCTCTGGTTTTGAAAAAAAGCCAAAATGCTTTGTTGTTGCAACTTGGATTTGTGGATACAATGCCCATCAGAAAATGTATCTTCCACACCGTCACCATGTCTGACTGTTTCAATATTCCTTAGATTTGATGTACAATTAAGAAGTTCTGGTTTTTTGAAATTTAATTAAATAATTTGTCAACAAAGTGCTGATTTAATATGTATCTAGACCCAGCCATTAATTTCATTATATCAAAATGAGAGCATCACTTAAAGTGCCCGGTCATCTTATCCTCCCTGTAGCTGATTTCCATAATTGGTTCCACTTGTTGGAAGTGTTGTGTTCGTCTTCCCCAGGTGCCAGGAATTTTCAGAAAGTCTCCAATTTTCTTTCAACCTTTGAAAATGCACATATTGAGATGCTATTCCACAGGCAGCGCTTATCCTCTGCCGTTACATGGGCCTACACATTTGGCCTTGTCCAGCTTGTTGATCATGAACGGCATCACAGCTGATCAGAATCCTTTCTTTACGTGCCACATTCAAATTTGGACAGTCCTCAACGGACATTGCCAGATAACAATCAGAACCCAGGATGATTTTCCCTGTCTTGCTCAGGATACTGTCGCTCACCTTCTCTTCTACAGCATTGCTGACCTGGTAGTAAGATGGGTTGATTCTATGCAACCCATATGGGTAGAGTCCAGGTTCAGAGCTAGTGAGTCATTGCACACCAAGCTGTTGATTTGCTCAGTAACATGGTAACACGTGTGTTCTTCACCACAGTTAGCAAAGAATATTGACAGTAAAAGTCATCCTGAGAACCTCTTGGTAATTGGTTACAGAATATCATTGGTATAATATAGGGAACTCATTTTTGCACTTTACCCAGTCACAAAGACAGATTATTGGCTGGAGAGAGCAGGGCCTAATGATGCCTTCTGTTTCGTTACCTACTGTCCGTGCAGTGTAGCTGCATTTGACAAGCTAAAGCTTCAGACATGTCAAATCCGATTTCTTTCGTGTCAAAACTATTGTCTTTTTTCTGGAAAATTAGTGAAATATATATAATCTCTTTGTGTGTACAAGTTATTTGTTTTCTGTGTTTTTTTAAAGCCTCTATTCAATTCAAGTGGCTTGTAATCTGTTTTTCTCAAAAGTTTCTGTTTACAATGGTCCGACCTTGGAAATAAAACATTGTACCAGAAACAATCCATAATTTTGGCGTGCTGTCAAGAGAAATTTCACAACGTTATTCCACAATATTACGATGGAATGTTGCAGATTCCTAATTAAATAACCCAGGTTATTTTAATAAAAACCAAAAGAACTGCGGATGCTGTAAATCAGGAATAAAAACAGAAATTGCTGGAAAAGTTCAGCAGGTCTGGCAGCATCTGTGAAGAAAAAATGAAGAAGAACTGAGGAAGGGTCACCGGACCCGAAACGTTAACTCTGATTTTTTTCTTCACAGATACTGCCAGACCTACTGAGCTTTTCCAGCAACTTCTGTTTTTGTTGTAAGCCAGGTTATTTTAATTGTTTTCCTTTTATCACTAACTAGTGTTCACTCCTTTATGGGTTAAAATTACCTCCGGAACTAACTTCTCCCTGGTTAATGCTATTAAGGACAGGGGTGATCACCCGATGGCAGCCAGAAGTAAGGGCATTATTTTTATCTCCGGATCATCGAGGTTATTTCCACTGGCTCTTTGCACTTGTTTGTGGTCAAGCTGAAGTTTTAAATCTGGAAGCAGATTCCTACACTTTTCTCCCTCATAAAAGTAAGCAAAGATGGGACCAGGTCTGACCCATATGATGCCTCTTTTGTTTCTCTTTCAGATTTATGACAGTTTCTTCATTGGCCGCTATTGTCTGTTGTGTATACTAATTGTGACGCTCCTGACAGGCTTGATTCTACTCTTTCCCCATTATATTGTGGAGCACGTGGAAGCGAAGTTCCTTCGGAACTGAGAAGTGATCTGGAACCCCTGTATTTTATATCTGTATGTGTTAAAGCAATAGCTACTTGTTAAAACATTCTTAAAGGTGTGTTTTTGTGAAAGAAGCATGAGGTGTAACTGTTGTAATATTTGGGAGGGAATGGTCAACCTGTAATAACATAGGAATGAGTTAAACTTTCCACTTTAAAAGAAAAATCCCATGAATCACTGATTGCATTTATTTTCCTGGGATCTGGGAAAGGAGTCAAAACTAACCTTCCTTTTATCAATTCATGGAATGTGAGTGTCGCTGGTTGAGCCAGCATTTATTTCCCATCCTAATTGCTCGGGTGAAAGTGTTGGTAAGCTGATTTTTTTGAATAGCCGCAGTCCTTGATGAAGCAGCAGTTTGGAGAGAGACTGGAGCATCAATATACAGAAAGTAATTCTCAAAATCATAGAAATTAACAATACTGAATAAGGCGCATCAGCCTTGTGTCAGTGAGTTGGGGAACGATACAACAATTCAGTTTTACCATCACCCTGTAGGTCAGCAGACTGTTGCTACCAGTGCATGAAGAGCAGATCACTTGGAGAAAAAGGCTACCATTACTGAGCAGTCTGTGGTTTAGCAGAGAGAAGGAGAGACCACTGAGAAAAGGAGAATAATTCTCCATTTAAGCAAGGGGTGAGGAAGGATATTATTAAGGTGGAGAGGGTTCAAAAGAGATTTACCAGGAGGTTGCTGAATACGGAAGGTTTGAGTTATAAAGAAAGGCTGGATAGGCTGGGGCTTTTTTTTCATTGAGGCATAGGAGGTTGAGAGGCGACTTTACAGAGGTTTATAATAATGAAGGGTACAGACAGGGTTAATGGTAGGTGTATTTTCTCTAGGGAAGGAGATTTCAAGACCAGGGGGCACATTTTAAAATGAGACGAGAGAGATTTAAAAATAACAAGAAAATTTGTTTACATAGAGGGTCGTTCACATGTGGAATGAACTTCCTGAGGAAGTGGTGTATGTGGGTACAGTTACACCGTTTAAAAAGCATTTGGATAAGTACATGAATAAGGAAGGTTTGGAGGGATATGGGCCAGGAGCAGGCAGGTGGGACTCATTTAGTTTGGGGTTATGTTCGGCATGGACTGGTTGGACTGAAGGGTCTGTTTTTGTGCTGTATGACTCTGTGAGGGATTCCTTCATTGTCAGTTTATGGAAAATCCAGATTCCAAATATGCATCTCAAATAAAGGGTGAGTTATTGCTTACAAATAGCAGAACCTGTGAGACACCATGTCCAGACATTGTTTCAGCCTGAGTTCTCACAGTCAGATCTCATTCTCCTTGGAGACCTCACCAGTGAATCTTCAATAAGATTGAGTACTATATGCAGTCGTGGGCTCCACTCAGGATCCAAGATATTGAGGCATTAGAAATTCACTAAGATGCTGCCAACCAATTGAAAAACAAATAAGAAGTGAGACGGAAAAAATAAGAATTAATCTTGTTAGCCCAAATGAGAATTTATGATGTTGGAGGCGGAATGTGGCAGAAGTGTTTAAAGTTATAACGGACCAACAATTACCAATGGATCAAGCAGATTTTGTATTTATATTATGCAATTGGTTTTTTTTATATTTCGGAAACTTTTATTTTGTACCTAATTTCTTTTGAATAAAAATCTTGCTCTGTAAATACAGTTTTTTTTTAAAAGTCCAAATGCTGGAGAATACAGGCATGGTTATATATTCTACTGCCTTTTAATTAATAAAATAAAACTTTGTGTTAAGATTCCAGCCTGAGACTCTTGACTTAAATAGATGATCCTTAGGATAATCTCAACTCCAGTCATCTCTCTCTAATGAGAGGGCAGGGGTATAGTTCTCTGGGACTGTGGTGCTATTATCTTTACCTAGTATTTCATTGTGAGGAGAGACATGCTCCTTTTCGTAGCGCCATTGCTCCTGAACTAATATTCTTGATGAAAGAATCTGGAGCCTGGTGGTGCCACAATGCCACCTGCTGTTACAATTAAGAATGACCAATATGGTAAATTGCAACATTATAAATAAGATGTAGAAAATGTCTCAGAACTAAATGGACCATGAGTGTATTAAAGATGAAGAGAAGGAAGGAAGAATATCTAGTTAGGATGGCCTTGCATAAAATTTGCAATCATACATGTTCTGTGTCACCTCTGTATAATGGTAGTTTGCCACTTTTAAGCATAAGCAAATAATTTGTACCTAACTGATTTATCTTGCCATATATAATAATGTATTTTTCCCTTATGATTGATTTCCAACATGACTACTATGCTGTCAGGAGCTGCAACAGAGAATGGAAAAGTCGAACAATTCAAACAACTGAACGAGACCAGGCTAGGTGTAAGATGTATGTTTTGTTACAATAGGCCTTGTCTCCCAGATGTTATGAAAATATTGCAAACTGCGATATCACGCAGTGAAAGCTCCCCATCTACTGCCCTACAAAGCTACTGAATGGAAGAGTGGGTAAATGGAGTTGAAGAACAGATTTTCAAAAGGTCTGAATGGCAGAAGAGGCTTGAGGGACTGAATGAATGGCCTCCTGTTTCTCAGAGTTACCTCCATTGAGCTAATAAGTCCTTCGTTTCTTAGTCAGAAGATTGCAACTATAGGATAAACACAAGGTCTAGACCAATGGTCCATTGAAAAATGTTATGTTCTTGGGATGTGGGTGTCACTGGCTAAAGAAACATTTGTTGCCCAGAAGTTAGTTGAGAGTCAGCCACATTGCTGTGGGTCTGAAGTCTCATGTAAGCCATACCAATGAGATGGTGGATTTCCCTCCCTTGTAGCAGTCGACCGCAGTTATCTGATCATCATTAGGCCAGATTTTTGTTAGTTACAGACAATTAATTTGTTTCAAATTTCACTATTTGCCATTGTGGGACAAAAACCCATGTCCTTCGAACATTTGGCTAAGTTTCTGGATGACAAAGGCAAGGTTGCCATACTCCCAGAGGACCATGGGGCTACAATCTCATTAGAGAGAGATGACCAGTGATCGATTAACCTGAGGGACACCATACCTCAGGCAAGGGGCAAGGTTAAAAAGGAGAGTCTTCATGGTAACTTCAGCCAGAATTAAACCCACACTATTAGTGTCGCTCTGCATCGCAAACTAGCCAGACCAGTCCAATGACATTGCCACTGTCTTGATGATACAAGCGTTGTTGAAAATGAAATGCTGTCCTTCAGATAATATTTAAACTGTCTTCCTATTTGCTTGGGCATTAGGCACATCACAATCCTTTTATTTTTTGGAAAGGTAAACAAAGTTCTGGTATCCTGACCAAAATCTTTCCCCTCAGCCAAACCCCAATTAACTGTCCATTAAGTGCTATTTTCACAGATTGGCTCACGTAACATACTGTTTCAAGGCAAGTCATTCCTTATAGAGGCCTATAACGTAATGAGGAGCATAGATAAGGTGAGTAGCAAAGGTCTTTTCCCTAGAGTAGGGGAGTTCAAAACTAGAGAGCACAATTTTAAGGTGAGAAGAGAAAGAATTAAAAGGGATAACTTTTTCACACAGAGGATGGTTTGTATGTAGAATGAACTGCCAGAGGAAGTGGTGGAAGCAGGCACAGTTACAACATTTAAAAGTCATTTGGACAGGTACATGAATAGGAAAGGTTTAGAGGGATATGGAGCAAATGCAGGCAACTGGCATCAGTTTAGTTTGAGAAACCTGGTCGGCATGGACAAGTTGGACCAAAGGGCCTGTTTCCATGCTGTATAACTCTGATCTGTTGAAACATTTCTGACACCATTCAGCCAACTTTCTTTGTATCATTCATTCCTAGAGCAATTGAAATTGATTCCTACTATCCTGATGTGTCCCATGGCCCTGTATTTAGCTCTGTTGTATATTTATATATTTATGTATACATCCCCTTAAAAGATGCAATAATCTGTTTCAAAGTACTTGTGATATGATTTTCTATGTTCTAATTTACACACATAGAAATTTCTTTTAATATTTTCCTCATTATCAGTGAGTATAAAATTTATAATCCTTCATTATTGATTCTCCAATGAAAATAAATTATCCTGATTCACTGTTTTTTATATATATATATATATATATATATAAAATTATATTTCTTTTAAAGTTTCTATTAAATGACCTCTTGTCTGTTTCACTGGAAATAAATGACATGGTATTATGGATATAGGGATAGGGTGATAAATTAAAATTGAGGTTGAATGTCAGCCATAAACCTACCATGACAGCACAGGCTTGAGAAACAGCATGACATAATTACAGCCATTGTTCGGTACAGTGTAAGAAATTCAATTCCCCCACTTACTAAAGAACCAACATGTTCCCAGGTATGTTTCCTGATTCTGTTTTATATTTTTAAACCTGAAAGATTGCCTGCACAAAAAGCTTAATGCCACATTGGGTGGTCATCTTACTGGCTGGATTCTTGGCTCCTTATGCTAACTCTTAGCCATCCTCTAAGTGAATGCAGGGTTGCTGTCAGCATTCAAAGGTGTCAGACATGCCTCACTTGTACCACCCAGACTGCTGAGTCAGTATGTTATGGATTCATGTACCACTCTAGAGTCTTGGCTGAAACTTCATGATAACGATGAAGGTTAATGATATATTATTATTTGGGACCTTGGATTCTACAGTAGAGGTCAGTGTATTTTTGGTTTTCAGTTCTGTGAAGTCCCTTTTCTTTTAAGGGTCAGAAACTCATTCTTTCAAGCATGAATCAAAACAGCTGTTTAAAGAAATCAATTTGTACTGTACCTGCATCTACCACTTCCTCTAGCAGCTCATTCCATATAAGAAAGACCTGTGTGAAAAAGTTGCCCTTCAGGTCCTTTTTAAGGTAAATGCCCAAGCACACTACCTGGTGACATTGTTGCAGGAGTGTTTATTAAATTAAGTTTTGACAACCTAGAGAGAGATCAGAAGAAAAAATCTATGCCAGCAGAAGAGCAGTTTTGGTTTAGCAGTATCCAGGCCTTCAGAAGTGGGAAAAAGTCTTAAGATGTTATAACATCCTACCACCTGGTATCCTTTCCCCTTCCCAGTTGGTACCCTACTATCACATATGCCTTATAAGGGTTTTTAATCAGTGTAACCAGATACTCTGGAGTGGGTGGGATTTGAGTTTAGGCTGTCTGCTCCAGAGTTAAGGACACTATTACTGTGCCATAACTCCATTTGCTTGAGCCAGAAGGCCCAGTTTCAAGTCCCATCTGCTCCAGAGATATGTAATAATATGTCTGAGCAGATTTGTGAGAAACTATCTACAAAAGTACTTCATTGGCTGAAAAGTACTTTGTGAGACATTCTGAAGCAATGAAGCGCATGCTATAAAGGAATGTCTTTCTGGGAACATGTTGGTTCTTTAGAAAGTGGGCCAATTGAATTTCTTACGCTGTACTGAACAATGGCTGTAATTATGTAATTGAAATTTCTGAGTGAGTTGTGAATGTGTGTAGATGAGATTACCTGCTCTTTCCAGCTAATTATTAACTTTTGTAAACCATTCACTCATAAAGGAAAACTAATTATCTCAATCTTACCATCTCAGAGCTCATTCTGTGGTTTAATTAGACTTCATTACACTAATTATGTTAAAGCCTTGTAACTTCCAAGTAAATAAACTTTGCAGACTGTTGTGGAAATAAAATTGGAATTTTATGCAAAATCTCATTATATTCATAAAGATTCCTATTTTTACCTCAGCTGCCCATCAAGTATTTGTTTATTAGACTGT